CCCAATTTCATTACTTCATTATGATGGCTACCAAGCCTTTGGGATTTTCCTTATTAGAGAGTTGAATAGATTTTTCTCCTTTAGCTTACTTAAATCTTTGGTTTTAATTAGTTAGGTAGGTTCCGATTCAACACATTGTAGTTTCATTTATATACCTGTGATCTTGACTTTTATACCTAGGGGATGAGTACTTAAGGGGGTTAGATTTTGATAAGTTCTTTAGTGGGAATGACACTGATGAAGACTGCACATTGTAGTCGAAATACGTATCTGTCATGGATACCAAAATTAATTAAGTGGAATTAAATGGAAGATAACCTTTTTTGCTGTTTTATTAAAGCATTCCGCTAACAACCCAATTTCATTACTTCATATTGCTGATTATTCATAAAATGTATAAGTCAACTAATAAGCAGACGCCTTGCAAAAAGTTAATGAAAACCATGTGCCAAATGAAATGTATAAGCGGTCACACATACCTTTTATCCATTCTTATAGGACCTATGTGGTTTGTCTTATGGGATGTATAAGGCTGATTTTTTGGCAAAAATGTATAAGTGAAATGCATGAATAAAATAATTGATTTTCGTTTCACATTTCAAACAATTTGCGCAATCTCTAAACCATAATCAATCTGCCCCACTTTTTTCACAGGCCCATGTTGAATCGAATTGTAGGGTGTTCTATGAAACATTTAACCTAGAGGCATCTCACTCTAAACTTTGATTCTAATATAAATTAAATATTTTTAAATGTTTCATAAGTATTTATAAGTTTTTAAAATCTTGCCTTATTGCCATCGTAGTGACCGGTTGCTAGTGTAGTTGTTTGTTGTTGTTGTATACTGTTCGCCACGTATTATATATATTTAATATTTAGTACTGGACTGTTTTACTTGGCATGATGCGCTTAGTTATAGAATTGAGTAAGTATTTTAGTTCAATCCCAGCCGAGGTCGGTGGGATTTTTCTGAAGCATAAAAATCTCTCTCCTTCGGTAAAGCCGTTGTGTGTATGAATGGGTGCGATATCCTACGCAGGTGTGGAAGCTGCCTTCGTACACATTTGATTGCCGTCAATGGATGGCAATCGATGTCCGTCGGTCATTGGCTTTAGATTGCGGAACAGAGTGCAACGTTGAAGAAGAAATTGCCGATTATTTGTTCATTGAGGTGGCAGAGTCAAGATTTTTAACAAGTGTCAACAGAGGAGATTTTCACAGAAGTCAGGGACCGTGACCGATCCGGTGAATTGAGACATAAGTTTTGAGTTGATTAAGTTGGAATGCAAGGTAGGAGAACGTATGGAGGACACTTGTATTTATGAAGGCCTCGTCGAACAGACAATTTGTCACTGCCAGATGCTGGAGACGGTGAAGGACATCCAACTGGCTATTCTCACCTACCCAACAACTCACCCACCAACCAACAAAGGCCAAAACCTACACGGATAGAAATCTCCTTATACCTTTTGGCAAATTTCCATAACTGATTATTCATAAAATGTATAAGTCAACTAATAAGCAGTCGCCTTGCAAAAAGTTAATAAAGATCATGTGTCAAATGAAATGCATAAGCGGTCACACATACCTTTTATGCATTCTAATAGGACCTATGTGGTTTGTTTTATGGAATGTATAAGCATAGAGGTAACTCTAAGACTAGAAGGTTCCGAAGAAACGTGCTCAACTTTTTGGCTCAGCTCTGTTACTCTCTTCGGTCCCAAGCTAATCGGTGCACCCCTCGAAATATAGAAAAATCCACGAACCCATCATTTTATCTGTCAAACTTTCATAGCGGATCAAAACAAACATTGTGTAGTACCAGAATTTCGACTAGAATGAGGTACGTTAATCGATTTACTTGGGACCAATAGGCTAGTCAAGTAGTGAGCCAATTTAAAATCGTTGGTTTCCACCGGTTGGTATAAGGCTGATGCTGTGGCAAAAATGTATAAGTGAAAAACATGAATTAAATAATTGATTTTCGTTTCGTGTAGCATATGTAGGATGTCAATTCAGTTGGGCTTTACCGTAAGCTGCACGAGTGTGAAAAGAAGAAGCTCGTAACTATGATCACGCAAGTCTAGGATATCGTGGTTACGATGGTCATCAATGAGCTACAATTTTTGAAGCGAACCACGTACAACCATAGAGGTAACTCTAAGACCACTGGGTCCCGAAGAAAATCATTATTATTTTTGGCTCACTCAGTACCAGAACAACGGTCCCAAGCAGTCTCAAGCTATTTCACTCACCCCTGCATGTTCTGCATGAATCCACACACCCCTGATGTTATCTGTCAAACTTTCATAGCGAATCAAAACAAACATAGTGTAGTAATAGAATTTCAACTAGAATAGGGTACGTTAATCGTTTGCTTGGGACCAATAGGCTACTAAAGTGGTGAGCCAATTTAAAATTCTCGCCTAACTTTTCAAAAGGTCCTAAGTAACAAATGTAAACAAATCGAGTTTATAAATGCACATTGTAACATTTGTACCTAAGAACATTATGCACACACACACATTCAGATTAATGTCAATTGAATTGAGAAAATTCTAAATGAACAAAACGTCTGAAGTCCAAATTTGCATTAACGATGTTTCACTGTTACATAAGACGTTTAACTATGTTCATCAAGACAAACGTCTGAAGTATCAGAAAAACCAAAACAATGCAGATCTGTACTTCGGTCCTTTGTGTTTATACGAGTAAAACGTCTAAAATGTTCAAACAAACCAAAACAATGTGATTGTGCACATCGAATTTTCATGTCAAGCATTTTTCTACAATTTCCGCGTGGGGGGGGGGGAGCTTGACAATTATCCACGGCCCATACAAATTTTAAAATTTTAATATATTGTCTACGCATGAGGAAGGGGGGAGGGGGTCAAGAATACCAAAAAGCTGTCTACCTAGTTAATGAACAGCCCCTAAAATAACACTGTTATCAAAAAAAAAAGCAGCTCACGCGACCACCAACGATCGACCAAAACAATCTCTGGGCAGTGTTGCAATATACCGTTAAAAAAGTTGATGCATTGTCCTATACTCATATTGTTCGTTTAACTCGTATAACTTGAATTATGCACTCATAATGCTTAAAAACAAACAAAAAATTTTGAAAACATAAATGACCTATGTTACTGTGATTATAACAAAACGTCCTATATAACATGTCCAATGTACACCTGACAAGAGCAAAATGTCCTATGTAACATTTTTCACATTTTCATAGAAAAAAAATGCATGAAACGGGTAGATTATAATTTCAATTTCAATTTTACTATCGCATTTTACTATTAAAGGTCTTAAAAATGTCAAAAGTTGATTTGGTTTAAAATAGTATCAAAAAAGATTTTGTCAATCTTCAACCTCGTTTTTCTCGAAAAGAGTGAAATGTTAGATAGGACCTTTTGAAAAGTTAGGCGAGAATTGTTAGTTTCGTATAGAGTTCTCCAGATGCACAAAAGTGTGCGTGAGACCGCGCGCTACCTTTTTAAGTAGTTGTGATATCGCGATACCTTTTTGTTTCTTCTTCTTCTTTATTTTTATGTATGGATGTTGGATTTTAGTGTTCGTGAGATTGCGCTTGGAGATCTCTATTGATTGTTGGTACAACTACACACACTTAGATTTTTCTACCGAGCTTGGCTGTGCACATTTCGGCAAACATAAGTTTCACTGAGATCTCACCAAAAGTGACATTTGATTACTGAGTCTCGGATAATGTTTAGCTGAATCTCAGCAAACAAATGAAATGTTTGCTGAGATCTCAGTAAAACTTGTTTTGCCGAAATTTGCACAGCCGAGCTCGATAGAAAAAACTAAGTGTTCAGCAAGAATTCCCGACAATTCGATTGCCACTGATGGTCGGAACACGCCGTATTTAGAGCTGGATAACGGTCGACTGGAAAGATAATTGGGTGTTCTAAGTAGTAATCGAAGGTTTCTTTTCAAATCAACATGTATTTTCCAGTTTATGGTTCAGGACCTCCAAAGACGAAATGCTGACTACAAAAACACTCGTACCGTTCTCATTCTGTCTCATCGTGGAAACCAGATGAAACACGTAACGCAGAGAAGGAAAATAAAATTTTCCGGAAACGTTTTATTTTTTTGAAAAGTATTTATACAACTCTCAAATAAAACGATTATGAACTGAAAATTATACAAATTCAATGAGAATACAGTTCCAACATTAAATTAAAGCATCTCCGTCATTTCGACCATGTCCAACTGTTTAGTAGAAGAGCGTTGAAGTTTCCAAATTCGAAGAAATTTCGTTTACTCCATGGAAAAACAGGGCATGAATAACGTTTCGAGAGTTTGCGGAATACTGGAAACTAATTTATAGCGATGGGTGAATAGTGCTATCCATTTTATTAGTCTGTATACAAGCAGACAGTTCTTTGAAACAAAGACAAATAACTGAACCATTCCGCTCAATAGTGATTGGATCAACAGTGTCTAAACGTTGACAAAGCTTCCGTTACATACGAAATGCTAATATTTTCCAGCTTTTCAAAGGATAACACTCACACTTTTGCGTTTGTAGCAAGATGATACTGTTTCGATATCCATCGATACTGCAATAGCGGTCTCAAGGACACACAAGCACAATTTCAACTTCAACTGAATGATTCTTGAAACAAATACCGTGCCCTCGTAGGGTTCGTCCATAGATTATGACTGTGGTATATATGAAATTTAATAAAATTTATTATCATTCCGATAATGGAAAATCTAATTATTATCATATTATCGAATTGTTGTTACTTCACGAGCTAGTAACGTTTTCACAGTCCCATCCCCACAAAAAAAAAACACCCCTCATCATTCACTGGGTGCGAGGCGCGCAAAAGTTGTAACGAAGCATGACCCAGGCCAATCACGTTACCTTGACAACAACTGCAGTTTGTTGAATTGTCTTTTGGTTCTAGAAGGAAAAGTCAAGTTTGGTGTTAATAATTGTATTAAACTTCTGTACTTCTTTGATCGTGCTATCCCGCTGAAAAACCAAAATCCTCGTGGCCATGCCCGAGCAACAAATTCCGGTCTACGATAGGCCATCGTCCAGCTCATCGTCGGAGCCCGTTTCCCAGGAGCACTCCCTGGTGGGTGTCGAAAACCGTGACAACCGCAGAAACGACGCAAATGACCGCGAAAATCAATTTGTGGCAATTCGCAATCTAATGAATAATAATCGCACATCTCGGAACGGTATCCGTCCGATGATTCCACACGTTCCCTTCGAGCGCTCGTTCATTCCAGCACCGACCCGGTACTATCCGATAGTGATTCCTGCGGAGCCAACGATTGAAGATCTGCTGGTAGGTTTGGCATTGGTCGGAAGCAGCGGGTCATGTTATTTATCGATTTATTTTTTGCGTATTTACCAAACAGCGTCAAGCAGCCGGAACTAGCGAGTTACATCGGGTGACCGAAATCAAGCTGAAGGTGATTTCCCACATGACCAGTCTGCAGAGGATTCCATTTTTCATACCAAACCTGCGGGCTCTTACGCTGGAGGGAAGCATCGTGACGACCTTGAGGGATTTGGGTTGCGATATGACGTCACTTGTTTACCTGAATGTGAGTCGATGTAGTTTGAAAAATTTGGATGGTACCAGCGGATTGGAAACACTGGAGGAACTGGTGGCCGATTATAACGCGATTGAGGAAGTGGGGCCTTGTACCAATTTGACCATAATTAAAAAGATCAGCTTGAAAGGGTAAGACAGGCATATAATGTAAATTTGTGGAAAGTCGTTCAACATTATTATTGTTATTACAGCAACCGAGTTACAGATCTTGGCAGTTGCACTTTCCTAGCACTCTGTGAAAAACTGGAAGCTTTAGATCTTCGGGAGAACTTTGTATCCGAGAACCCCTCTTTCCGGCATATGCTGAAGGAAAACATCCCACAGCTGCGTTGTTTGAACGAAGTTCCATTCTCTGAAGTAGTTCGCGAGGAGAATTCGGACTTGTCCAGTTCGGAGTACAGATCGAGCTCATCGTGTAACGACGACGAGCGTCGAGGTCGTTGGGATGCGGGAGGTGCGGGTGACGGTGCTTGGAACGAGCGCCATCATCGACCGGCTACAAGTCATCAGGAGCGAACCGTCACTGTAGAGTTGTTGGACGATGCTCGACCTGCTTCAGCCGGTAATTGAAGCCTGATTCAAGCAATGAAGAACCTCAAGACTGAAGATTCCCTTTCTATTTTGTTACACTTTATTTACATTCGATAGATGCAACTAAATTAAAGAGTCAGCTAACATCCGGAGAGCCACTTTGCGGTACTATTGTCACAAAAGCTCGCCGAACACGACGGCAGCGAACCGCTTGGGGTGAATCTACTTCCTGCTCCAGCATGAGTAGTTCGGATTCGTCCTATTCGAAGGATTTTCCTGATCGATTACCACAAAAGCACGTCGATCTGGAGCTGGGAGTGATTGGAATGCAGAACCAGTCGGGTGGAGCAGCAGACGATCCGGGCGATGACTCACAAAGTCTGCTACGTGCAGCTCGTTTGTGGCGCCAAAGATCGCTTCAAACGCGGGAAGCGATTCGAGAACAAGATCAACTGGCCCGCCACATGAGCGAGGGCTAGGATTTGTGATTTAAGAGATAGGCTTTTGTTGTTGATCTCACTTGTACAGATTTTATTCTTGCTAATAAATTCTTGATAGGATTAGTTGAAGTTCTGAATGTTCATAGATCAAGGAAATCGCGGATCATCTTGTTGACAAGTTGAGGATCTTCTTGTTGAATGTAGTGTCCAGAAGCAGGAATAACTCTACACCTGAGATGTGGTATGCTTTTCATCAACAGTTGTCCACTGTGCATGGAGATGAATTGATCGTGTTCAGCCATGAGATACAGTCCTGGACAGTATCGTTCGATGACCGGAAGTTTTTCCTCCTTTTGAAGGAAACTGAAATTCTCTCGATAGTAATCGATTGCTCTTGTCAACGCACGCGCACTAGAAAAAGTGTATTTGTATGCTTCCAATTCTAGTTTCGTTAAATAGGCGCCCATATTTTGATCAATGTATCGGAAATCCTTCGACCAAATGTAGAACTCCGGTAATCTCGGAAGCATGAAGAAGAACGCATACCAGGACATTCGGAATTGTTGCCAACTGGTTGCCAGAAGCCTACGCGTTACGTCCAGCGAAGGTGCACCCATCATAATGTATCGGTCGATCATAGCCATGTGCTTCAGTACAAACTGGAAGCCAATGATTGCACCCCAGTCGTGACCAACCAAAATCACCTTCTCGTAGCCCAGTGCCTTCACGAAGCTTCGAACGTCCTCCACTAACAGGTCCAGCTGGTAGGCAGATCGTTTATTTGGTGCCTCTGAGCCCCCATATCCTCGCAGATCGAGGGCAACTACTCGATAATCCCGGGAAAATTCCTTCATCTGATGACGCCAACTGAACCAAAACTCTGGGAATCCATGCAGAAACAGCATCAGCGGTTTCTCTGGATCTCCATTTTCGACGTAGTGTAGTTGGATACCCTGGAATTGGCTTGATTAACACTACCATTCAAATGAAACATGAATCGAGCACTTACATTAACTTCAACATATTTATGCCTCCCAAAGGCTGGATCATGCAGAACGGCAAGCGATATTGATCGATCTTTTGTCGCCCAACGATCAAGGTGGGGATCGAACAGAAACTCGAATACTGTCTTGAGCAAAAATTTTATGCCGTAGAAGGCGCTGATTGAGTAAATCGCAATGGCTTGCAGTAGGCGTAGAAGTAGCTGCATTCTTGCTGCTGAGGTTCGGTCTGACTGGCTGCCAACTTTGATGCGGTAGGTATATTTAATAAACTTAACCACCCGGTAGGCTTGTTCCGGTTGAGTTAACATTTGTCAGATGTTCGGTGCACGGCGAACAAAGATGAGCTAAAGTGCTGAGTTGATCCGTAAAGCAGTATGTTTATCTTGATTTGATCACTCTGTAAGCGTTCAGAAAGAGGAACACACAAAGTCAGGATAGCATCAACCAATCGCCACGAACAATGCAAAAGGTCTGATGATTGATTGATTCGTATTCATCTAGTGCAATTCAGGGACACGGATAATCAATTTCAGAATTTTGCTACGCCATTTTGAACGCGGAGTCATTTCTTTTGTTTCGGTTCTTTCAACTAAATAAATAGAGCCTTATTACGGGTGTCACTTCACGGTGAATACGACAACTTATCACTCACGGCGAAGTGATTCCCATTTGATTTACACGGCAATCACTACCGTGAGTGACAAATGGTCAAGCGAACCCCACACGCATCAATATATTGACGCGAAGGGGAATTATTGACAATAATATTGATGATGTGAATTCAGAAATATTGTCAATCTCGATATATTGACGTCAATATAGAATGTATTGACAATACGATTATTGTCAATAAAAGTAATCGTGTAGGGTCCACTTCACTTCACATCATTTTCACCGTGAAGTGACACCCGTAATAAGGGCCATAGTCATTTAAGAAAGTGAAAAGAAAACGAGGAAATTCAAAAGATACAGAGGACGACAGATCTACCGAGTCGTTCTTCTATTTTTTTCGTTTTGCGATGTTCGCCAGCACACTAAACGCAGACACCTCAACGACAAGAATCATGATCAGGATTTTGTCTTGGTTGTCGAGTTTGTTGTAATTATGAGAATTCTGAGAAAATCAGCCATGAATATTCAGTGTAAATTTTGTAACTGCAAGTGAAGCTATAGAATACAAAAATAGTAAAATATATTAAGCCGACCTAACTCAATACCAATACCTTTCAAATAACTTATAGAGTTCGAAAATCGGTTGTAAAATGGTAGAGATATGAGCAATATTTACACATTATTAAAAAGTGACCCCAAACTTATGATCGGGAGTGTATCATAAAGTTCAACGAACCCTCGCGTATGAATACAGCAAGTTCTATTTTATAAAATACAAGCCTATTTTTCGAAGATCGGAGCCAAAATTCAGATCGGTAAAACAGAAAAATCAAATTTCTATGAAAATACCTACTTTTGTGAATATTAAGCAGGTTCGTCCTTCACATATGGATTCAGTTCCATTCTATAGAATCCAAGCATAAATTTCAAACGATAGAACCGAAATCCAGCCTGGCTTCAAAAAAAATCAACCATTACGTATGAACTCACAATTGTCTATTATATAAAATCAAGCCTGTTTTTTCAAAGGACGCAGCCAAAATCCAACTTGGATTGAAGAAACCAAAATTTCTGTAAAAATACGTACTTTTGTGGATATAAACCCAGTTTTCTCAACAACTATGCCTGCTAAAATAAATCTACCATCATATGTGAACACACGATGGTCCATTCTTTAAAATCTCAGCCTAACTTTCAAGGGATTTGAATCTCACAAGAACAAGGAAGGGGTCTTGGAGAGCGGAAATTACGTTAAAAGTTATAGCGAATTTGTTTATTATCCAGGTTGGAACCAGTTCCAACCCGTGCGAACCCGAGCTTATTGTCAGTGCGAACCTCAACCCGAGCCAGGTTACAAAAACAAACGTTAACACTGACGTTTGAAAGGCAACAAGCAGACCCAATCTTGATACCCGATCCAGGTTGGGACTGAATCAAAAACAAATTCGCTATTAGTTAAACCACTTCAGAAATGCTCATACTAACATAAAATATAATTTAATCACTCAACAGAAATACTTGGACTCTCTAAGGAAGGTATTGAACTACTTCAGAGAAGGTTGGACTTCGTTTGGAAAATTTAGGATCAAAAAAGTGTCGGTTCACTTGGGAAAACTTTTTACACTTTTAGGAAAGCTAGATGACCTAAATAAGGTGGTGTCCTTGCCAAATGGTGACAAAAGAAAAACATAAGATTTGTTCCGGCCTTATTGACACAAACAATAGAATTGTTTGCAAGCTTGTATACAACGATGCTGATTTATGCGATATCGTGCTAAAATTTACCCAAAATTACGTGACAATTTACGTCAAATCTAGCTTTAATTACATGTGCAAAGGTTGTTCCGAATCTTCCAGATGACCTAGGTTCTAATCCAGTTGACAATCTTCACGAGTTTTATAAATTATATGCGATATATGTTCTGCTTCATTAAGTGGTTACCTTTACGAATGATTTGGATCTTCTAGGTTTATGTTCCGTTTACATTGTTGAAAGGTACACATCTACCACGAACACTTATAATTTAATTGAAATCAAAGCGTTCATGGCCATCCCGGATCCTGTGTGCAATTTTCGTAGTTTAAATTGATTTTTAAAATCGTAATAATTCGGGGAATAATAACATTATTTCGAGCTTCGACTTTACGCACAATTCGATTTTACGTACATTTCAGAAACGAAAATGTGCTTTAAATCGAGGCATACATGTATAAACGAATAAAAAGTTGAAAGTGCCACCAGCGACCACCTACTACTACAAGTTGCATGCAATATTGTGTAAACGTCCATTGCATGTCTTTGCCGACGTTAGCATTCTGAGCCGATACACTACGCTAGTCACCAGCTATCATTGAGTAAGCTGAGGATAAAATACAATAATATCAATCATAATAATTTCACACCCACGTGATAATGGATACGAAAATAAAGCAGACGAGGGTTATAAACGGTGCGATACGCCAACTTTGTTTTGACTGGGTTACTATAGCGATGACGTGTATTGGCACACGTGTTTGGGCAGCCGCGAGTAGAAGAGTAAACTGTGGTTCACTTGGATTGTTGTGGTCCATGCTTTGAGAGTAGTTCAATTAACAAATCAAAGTCGGTCGTTTCAACGATATTTCGGCTATAAGTGAAGAGTGAATTATCCTTTCTTCAAAACAAAAAGTCCATTAGAGAAATAACCTGTGGACCTGTGGACGGAAAATCGTCAGTTCATTCACAACTTTGTTTTGCGAAATCATCCTGTGTCATTGTTAACACAGGTATAAACAAATCACAGTATGAATATAATCACTGCTTTATCTATCAACGACAGGCTTCATTGTATGTTATGCTTAGCGGTGATGCATCACCATTATCTTAGCTGTGCTCTGAGCACATCAGGGTGGCTGCACTGCTTTATAACGAGCACTGTGCTAGCGGAATACCACTCAAATCATCGCCTGTGATAACCACCCTAAATGTTAGCATCGCATTAAAAAAATAAAATATGCGCTCGCAGATAAGCGCCCGTAGGAGTTCGCGCAGTCATTTTTCGGTATCATTCCAGTCCGGTTCGATCGGATTCCGCACTGCATAGTAACACGCGAACAAGCGATGAGTCTTCTCAAGGTAACGTTCGGAGCTATAGCCTGGTCACTGAGTCTGTTCTATTCCATCCGGGTGCTGTTCTTCATCGCGGTGCAGTTTTTTACCAAGCCACATTCCAAGTTTTGGGTCGTCAAGAAGCGTCCCTATCCGCCGCAATGTCTCCAGAAGCATGACTACGGAGTGAGCCAGTTTATCACGGTGAATGTGAGTTTTATCATCGGTTATGAAATCATGGTGATTGTTTAATTGAGCTAAATTGCCGAATCGTTTGCGCGTTTGTTTTTTTTTTTAAATTCTACGCAGGGCGTTAAGCTGCACTACGTCGAAAATGGCGATCCAAGCAAGCCGCTGATGATATTCGTCCATGGCTTCCCGGAGTTTTGGTTCTCATGGCGATATCAGCTAAAGGAGTTTTCCAAGGACTATTGGTAAACAGTAGGCGGCGAGTTTTGCGACAATGATCTAAGAATGAAACGTTTAATTTTAGGGTGATTGCCGTTGACATGCGAGGATATGGAGAATCAGATAAACCGAAAGATTTGAGCGCTTATCAGGTGTCCAATATGGTACAAGATATCAAAGAGCTTGTCATTGCATTAGGTGAGTTTTGGATTGAGGTTTATATAATACATATTCTTATCAGTTCTCATGGCACACGGCTTGGTACCATTTCTGCAGACGGTGAAGAAGATTGCATCCACTGAATTTATTTTCTTATAGTGAAATTTATTGCAGTAAAGTGGGGCAAGAGTTCGTTAAGAAATAACACTGCAAGTTTATAAGTCTACAGAACCCTCATAAAACCGAAATTGTTACTTAGGCGAAGCCAGTGTAAAATGAATTTCAATGTTTCAAAAGGAATTTGTTTGGCTATCGCCAAAAATATCACAATAATTTGTGATGCTTTCGAAAATTTACAGGGAAAAGTTTATTCGAAGTTTCAATAAATTTTGCAGGTTAAGAACAAGACAAAATCAATGCTGGTTGGATGGTTTTATATCTGGTCATAATTATGTGCCTCTTGACGATTGTTTGGGGAGATTCCTCCGAATTTTGAGATATTTCCATTTGCCAAATAAGGTCGATCGTTTGTTCCACCTTACTCTGTTGGAAGCGAGCAGACAATAATCCACGGTTAATAGCATTCTTCACACTGTGATGAAAACATATATAAGATGTTTAGCAATAACGCCTACATATAAGCGGCAGTCTGCCGGGTCAAAAATGTTGAATTTATTGGCGATATTTGCAATGCGTTTCGTTATGTGACAGAAGAAAAACAAGTTTTGTGTGGTAGTTGCCGTCTGTTGTCAAGATTGGTGATGGTTCTGAATATACTCGTCATCGGGAATGGTAATTGATAAGTTGATAGGGGAAAGCCCCAGTGTTCTAGTTAACATCGATACCTCTCACGCCAAAGTCGCGAGTTCCAATCTCATCCAACGGCTTTAATTCCCTTCCGAACGAAGGCGTGATCAGAGATATTATGACTCAGAACATCCCGGCGGCGCCAACTGGGATTGAACCCAGGCCTGCTGGGGTGAGAGGTAATCACGCTTACCTCTACACCACCGCTAAAACGATTTTATCAAATTAAAAAAAAAAAAGTTTATTTCATCCAGTTTTAAATTGTTTTCTATTGATAAATGAATTTTACATCGATTTTAAATCAAATGGTTTAATAAATATCAAAAATAGAGAGAATGCTTGATTGCCAATAACAGTCCACGGTATCATAATAAATATGACTTCTAGTGCTATGTTTTGTGAAATTACCTACTGTACTTAATTTTGGGCAACTGAATCTGAATCTAAATGCTAAATTCCTTGAAAGGGAAGACTTTAATTGTCTGTTTATAGGCGCGACTTTTCTGTTGCAAAATAAGAAGTTTTATTTCGCAAACTAGGTATAGACCTTAACGTATTGGTGGCAAACTTGAGAACTATCAAAATAATGCATGTTTAAATATGTATTTCAATTTCTCAAATTTGACTTCTAGATAAGATATAAGATATGGTGAAGCCACTTTCTTCTTTTTCACGATAAGCAAATTCAGACCCGATGCTTGAGGTGCATTTTTGTCTTAAATCTGAAACAACATAATTCATTGCAAACACTTCTAGCACCATTAGCAGGTGCAAGTTAAACGCTGGAGCACCAATAAATCAAGCAACAGACAGGCCAAAGAATGTGTGATCTTGAAATGTGCATTGACAACATTTGATGATTGACACCATCGTCAAGTCTTTGCTCACTATGGCAACGTGTCACCCAGTGTGGCTGGGTTCAAAAGGCGAAGAAATCTTCGGAAGGGAAGTAAAGCCGTTAGTCCCGGCACATGTGTTGATGGGTTCGATAGGATCAGGGTGTGGAAGTTGTCTCCCAGGCACTAGATTGCCGTCAGTGATTAGTCGCCAATTGGCAATCGACGCTATAGTCACTATATTCATAGTCTGGCGGAGACAATGACGGGAGCCAATTCGACCTGTCACTTGCGGGAGCCAATCGAGCATGGCTTGCTTCTTTTTAGATCAATGTGGTCGAAGTATTGTGATCGTCACGATAATTAAATCGAACAAAAATTTATTCAATTCAGATGGTAATTTATCAATGCGTTTCTGAATGCTATTTTTACGTTTTACATGGAGAACATCCACGCAGCTAATATGTAGACTACAAATAATATACTTTTCGATAGACAGCCGAAATTTGCTGGTTGGGCCACCACCTCAACTGACAGAAGGCTAAAATTTATTGGGGGGCTATGCGCATCCTCTGTTGTGGTTAAGAAGACAAAACAAAAACAATACGGATTGGGGCAAGTTGTATGAACCTGAGGGGAAAAAGGAGAATACTGATGTGCTTATTGTGTGTTTTGGTTTTCTTCTGCAATTTCAAATGACACTCAAATGTTTCGAACAAATATAATATGTTTACATTCATTACATTAAATGCACAGTTCAAAACGCATATGCTTACCCCTAGGAGGAATTTATGTTTGATTTTCAAATCTAGTTTGACATGAGATTTTGACATATAGATGCTGTTTAATTGAGTCATGGCCCAACTAGCGAACACCCAACTAACGAGCACCCCAACTAACGAGCCCCCAACGAGCGAATTCCCACTGTATTGCAGGTATGCGTTGAAAAGTGTAAGTTGATTGATATTCTTTTGACACATTTCGTCCTATTTTGACGAATATTGTATACATTGATATTTATACTGCACAGGTAAAAAACAAATTACTTTACTTAAACCGAAACCGTTCTGCAAAAGTTTGAGCATTTCCACGTTGTGGCACATTATTATTGAAGAAATCAAAGTTGCCAGTTTGCAGGATTTTGTATCCGCCAGACTATAAATACAGTGATAAATATTTGATTTCCCGCACGTCTCATTATTAATTCATTTACTCGGTTACGCAAAACCACCATGTTTACTTACATTCATTTTCAGTTGTTTGACTTCAACCGTCTACTCAAAGAACGCAAATTATTATTCAAGCGCACTACGACATCTTACATATTTATACATATCTGCAATAAATAGTATGGTATCAACGGCGGCCCAAAAATTACATCATGAAATAGTATAGCTCGCCGTATGTCAATAATACACAATATAAAAAACAGAGACACTAATGCACCTCCCTGAGAAACGCCAAGGTTTATTTCTATTGGGGCTAGAAAGAGAACCAATAAACAAACATTCATATAGTTCTGTCACTCAAATTGGTCTTATGTCATTTGTAGGCACGACCGGCAATTCAACTACTCTTTATTGTTCGTCATAACAAGGGCCTAGTCGAGACATGGTTGCGATAATAAAAACATAACAAACAGCATATTTACGCTCTATGCTTACACTATTTCGTAAACCGTAACTTTACGATGGCGCTGAAAAACAAACATTGACAAAAAGTAATTAAACTTAGCAGAATGGCATTGCACAGTGACAGGCCTCTAGTAACCATCAAGCCTGTCCAGGTCCATTTTGGACACACCCAAAAAAATCCAGATTCCACCGGATGTGGTAAGATTCTGACTTAGTCTAAAACCCATCGTACATCAAATCATTCGTCAAAATGTTCAATGGTAGTCATTTCGTATGGTAGCTCCTGAACATGTTTAGGGAGCCGCTAGGAAATTGCCCATATTCTGACTTTTTATGTTCCAAAATCTACCACACGACATTTCAAATTACATGCATATTCAAAATGCTGCTTCTCAAAGACCACAGGAATGTGGCCACACTTTGACAGCATCCGTTATGTGACGCATCAAATAGCATGATAATTCATAATCAATACCACTGACGGTCATGTTACGGGTGTCCATGCACGGAAAAAAAATCCGTTCCGAAATTCGTGATATTTTCGGCAGTTCAGTAGTACTGTTTACTAGAAATACTCATGAAACAAATTACAATTCGGCAGCAGGGATTTGTACCTTACTTAGCTTTCAACCCTTGCTAGAAGCTAGCATTTCACATGACTTTTACTGTTGATTCGATTTACGTGCAAAATAATAATTCAGTGCATCGCAATATTTTGCACATTTCTTGGTGCCATTAATTAACCAACTAAGATCAATTAATCAATAGAGTTAGAATATTGTTTTTGATTTCAAAAACTAGTTAAATTTGAGAAGCACATGAAACATAAAGGTGATTGAATTTCTTTCGATTACAATACTCTCAAATTTAATGTATCCTCGGAAACATTTTAATGGGAGTGTTCGAATGGCTCAAATTTTGACAGTTCATTTGGCTCAAAACATTCTCTCCACCCATCTCTCCCTCTGAGTAATTCTCTACCCAAGAAAAAATCGATTAGGTCCATGTAAACAGTACCACTCAACTGGTATACGTGTGAGGTTAACACCAACGGTGTAAAACCTTATATTAAAATAATTTCCAATATTGTAAATGGAGTGGGGGAACTGGAAGGAAAACAACGGAAGACTTGATGCAAGATTTACCTACACCCCAAACTGACAGCTGCCATCTGTCCTGTAAATGGACACACTTTCAGCTCAACAAATCATCACCACCTTTGACTTCCATCGGAGCAAGAACATCAGATGCGTTCGGGGATCCTTTTCATCGAGGTTTATGGGGTGTTTACACCTATGCTATTTCACTAGCGCTAATGAGCTAGCTGCTAGCAAAAAGCTCACTAGCATCAGGGCATCAGCGTCTACCAGCATGTAATTTCAGGAGCAACTGAAATTCGTGCTAGTTGGCGAGTACACTAGCGCGAGTAAAACCGCACAGATGTAAACACCCCATTAAGGCTAGTGATGACACGTCCCAGCCACTGGCACTGTGTCGGATCACCGTTCTGATGATACGGCTCAGCTGTATTTACTAATAACCAACACACTATTCTCGACTATAGATACTATAGATTCCATAGATAAGCGGAGGCACAAAAAGTTGTTTTGGCAACCATGAAAAATAAATAATCTTACTGGCATCCGTGGAAAAAGTTCATGCCATTATAAAGCTCTTCGTTGTACAGTTTTGTTTTGCTTCGTGCGTAAAAGTTCAAAATGAAGTGGAAAGCAAATCTTTGCAACAATGAATCAAGGAATGGTTGGCTTTATCTTTCCTTCTTCCGTTGTCCGCGAAATAAATCGGAATGTGGATTGTGGAAAGCGTTTTGTGCTCATATTAATAGAATACTTCTTCCTCAAACAACACCATGATGACGTCATGCTCGTTTGGCTACACTAACTGACAGTTCGATTGGCTACATTATACTTTGCTTCCGCTTATCTATGGAATCTATAGTATCTATATTCTCGACGGTTCCGAGCACTCTGTAAATCTGGGTTTAGACAGGGCAAGTCAATTGATCAAGTCAGTTGAATTCAACTGGCTTGAAAAGTTGAGCCTGGTTCAACTTTTTTCAATTCAAGTGAGTTGATCAAGTCAGTTGAATGGCATGGTTTACACGTTCAATTATTAGAATTAGGGCGTAACAGCTTTTGTAAACAATGACTTCTCTAGATGATTTCTCGAAACTCAAGGCACGCCCACGCAAACCAACATAACCAACGAGAAGGCGAAGTCCTCCCCTACCTGATGGTGACGTTGGTTTGAGTGAGCGGATCTTGGCTTTCTAGAAATCATCGAGAGAAGTCATTGTTTACAAAAGCTGTTACGCCCTAATTCCAGCTCTATCTAGAATTATGGGTTCATGGATCACAAAATCATGATTGTATTTTGTGTTTTCTGTAGTGTTACGAAATCGTCGGTCGTGCTGAACAGGCGTGAATTAAGTTCATGATGTACTCGATCATGTTTACGGGAATTAAGTCATGAATTCAAATGAACTAGCAGTTCATTTTCCAACTTGCGTCACCTCAAATCACATAAAACATATACTAGGATCATATTGAAAGTTCAGGACTAGATTCTGACTATATTCCAACGGGCCGCCAGCAGCTAAACCCTATTATGAGACACATGAAATATCATGAGATTTCAAAATCAAGATCATTCGTGACCACATTGCAAATTGGTGTGGGTTACCATATCAAAAACTTGAAAAGGAGGACATTTCATTTGAGGTTTGAAGATTAAGGAGGACAATGATTCCTTTCTTAACATTAAAGGAGGTCAATTAATTTTTATCAAACGTTTTAATAATATGTGCGCTATCACAAAATTCAAGATTTGCAAAGGTTCAATTGAGATTGTCATATCTTGTAGTCGTTACCAATTCAGTTAATCTTCTCGTTATAGTTCTGAAAAATGCATCTAAAAAGACGTAATTTATTTTTTATACTTGGAAATGATCTAGTCTTTCTGATTGGCATGAAAACTATCGCTTTACAGTCTTAAAACCATGCCAACTTTTATCATGTACATACATTAGGATACATGTCATCGCTGATTGAAACGAACATGGAACATCTAAGAGACTTGTTAATTGTACCATTGATTCAGCATAGGACTCTAAGGCCACTGCCATAGAGGGAGCACAAACACCTCGAAAATCACACGATCAATAACAGAGAGATTTTCGAACATTATAATTTATTTACGAAATGTCATATATAAGTAAAAAGTCATTCGATGAATTTTCACCGACACTTCGAAAATAAATTATTATGTTCGAAAATCCCTCTGTTGTTGATCGTCCGATTTTCGAGAAATTGTTTGTCAAAATTGATTCCTGGTTTGCCTGAAATATGTCTGGTAGAATAGCTGGTTTATTTGAAAATTTTCCATCTGTCAAATATAAGTTAAAATTCATCAAATGGACCGCAGCCTTAATGTAGGGGGGTTGACATCTGTAGTATACTCTTAGTCCCACCATCGAATGACATTTGCTAGATAAGATGATGTTGTGACATAATTAAACAAATAAGCTCTGCAAACATTGCTCTTTGAAAACAATTTTTTACTTCTAGGTCGTAAAAAGTTTACCCTAGTGGCTCACGATTGGGGAGCGGCAATTTGCTGGGAATTTGTGTCCCAACACATGGACATGCTAGATAAGTACATCATGATGGATGCTCCCTCGAGAGGAGTTGCCCGCAAGCTGATTTTTTCCAGTAAGGAGCAGTTCAAAATGTCTTGGTATGGACCTGATGTTACTTATTTTCTGAAACTTCAATTACCAAACTTACTTTTCCACAGGTACATGTTCTTTTTCCAGATGCCAAAATTGCCTGAATTTTTTATACGGATGAACGACTTGAAGACGTTTGAAATGGCATTGGGAAAGCATTGCACACCGGAGGAGGTTGAGGCCTTCAAGTACACGTTTTCCAAAAAAGGTGACCTTTGATATTATTTCTACCTGAATCGCAAATATATGATCATCAAATATTTCAACATTTCAGGAGCCCTAACTCCACCAATCAATTACTACCGAGCAAACTTTGCTAGCACGTCGAAATGGACTCCCAACCCGCCAAAGGACATTCCGCACGTACCGGGGCTATACTTGCTGGGAGAGAATGATTTGTACATATCGAAAGCAACCGGTGAGATGTTACAGAAAAGGTTCAACAATCTGGAGTTTAAAATTATCCCAGGAACGGGCCACTTCGTACAGCAGGAGAATCCGGATATGGTGAACAAGTTGATGCGGGAGTTCCTAGAGAAGAAATAAATCCTAGTTGTGACGACAATGATGATAATTGTTCTGTAATCAATTCCAACACGAGAGCCCCAGCCATGGCTTGATGGCGTGGGCGTACGATTGCAGAGAGATTTGCGGTGTTCTTTTCGTCGTTGGCACGGGATAGAATTGTTATTTGGAGGTGGGTGGGGGTGGGCTGCTGTGCAACGCAACGCTTGTTCCGGTTTTTCGCTTTACTCCTCCGACCCTAGAGGCGGCCTGGGGACGTCCGAAGTTGTCTTGGGGGGTGAGGACCCTTTTTGTGAACATGAAACAAGATTTTCCATTGACGTCATCAGCCGAAGTTGACGTCACTGCAGAGGGAGAAGTGTGGACGCTTTATTCGTCGTCGTTACAGTCGGATGGATGGTCGGTTCGTGCTCGGGGTCTGCTATGCGCGCGCTCTTTTTCCGGTACACAACAGAGTCAACGTGTAGGTTGTGGACGGCAATGATGCTGCAGGAGGGTAGGGAGCAATGCCGGTCGTTTACTACATTTTCATTCATCAGATTTGTACAGAGATGGTTGGCTTGGTTGGCGATGGTCGTTTGAATGGGTATGGTGTATGTGTGTGGTAAAGGGGTGCCCAGATGTTGTGTGCTTTTGGGAACATGTAAAGGCTTCTATGCCAAATATGCCGTGATTTCCCGTTGGGATGCATCAAGTGAGGAATGTTTAAGGTGGATGGTTCAGTAAGCTATTTTCAAGAAGATTCTATCACCCCAATTGTGAAAAATACTTTATAATTACAATTAACGAAGACAGAATTTGGAAGGATTTATTCTCTAACCACCTCCCCCTTCATAGATTGATTATGGACAGCTCCTAAGATATGTAGTTCTACATTTATATTATACTAAATTGGAAACTTGCTCAGTTCTTGAATCGTTCAGCGCTGCATGCGAATCCCGTTCAGATGGAAGGTGCTTATAGGATTGCGAAGGAGAAGGCAATCTCTATTAATTTCAAAACGGAAATCAATCCAGTATTTAATTGTCCATAATGCTGATGGAAAGGCAACGCCTGCTGCGGGAAACATTCAATACGTGCGAGTTTATGATCCTCAACCAGAGAGCAGTTTCACGCCAAAATTTCATAATGGTGTATTCGATATTTTTTCTAAAAATCTTATCTCGAAAAATCCACTTCCAATCGAAATGGTGTTTGAGACAAAGCTGTAAGAAAAAAGAATTGGCATAAAAAAGTTTTTAAAACTTAAAAAAACAAAAAAAAAACAAAATCACCCTGATTTTTTTTAAATTTTTTTTTAATTTAAAAGCTTATGAAAATGTTAGCTTCTATGAAATTGTCAAGTTTGACACTTATAAATTAACAATTATCACAGAACAACAACTTTTGGACAAAACAACTAATGTTCAAATCAGGCTCATGAGAGTTAGATAATTGTATTGATAAGGAGAATGATGACAAGGAATGTAATGCCGAGGTTAATGAAATTGTTGGTGATAACGATTTTTATAATGATTGTTATGATAAAGATTGCGACATGTATCTTAAATAGTAGAAGATTATAAATATACAAAAAAAAAACTAGCTAAATAATTATATACATCAGAACAATGGATAGTGCACATCTAAGCAACTAGATCAATATTCGAAGATGTTGAAGGTAGGCTCAGTATATACCCATTGATAATCAAGTTTTAATAAAATATATTATTCAGATCTTTCCTTTCCTTTTTCTATTTTTTCAAAAGGAACTAAGCCACATCCATGGGTGTACTCGTTCCGGGACCATGTCCGAATGGGCCGAAAAGGCTAAAAGCCTGAAACTGATCAAAACCCAAGCAACACAATTTGCCATAAACGGCTTTACATAACTTATTTATGACAATCTTATCTGTTAAAATTGACGTCTAGTCACTTATATACAACTCAATTATACCGAAAAAAACGCAAGAGGTGGGATGTATATTTAACATATGTCAAGTTATGTATGCTTGACTTGCGTAACCTATTTATAACTATAACACAACCTACTGTATTGAACATATTTATGATATCCTTTCAACGAATGGAATTTGTTTGTTTCCATCATAAATTTTCAAAACTTATTTTTCTGGTGAATTGTGCGTATAAAGTGCATAGATTCCGTACTCGCAAAGATTTATGCGGTTGGAAATTTATGGTCAATCTTTACATTCTATTTCTAAAAAACTCATAGGCTCTTAGGAAAAGCTTAATACAATAAATTGAATTGCACAAAACATTCTGGATGCAAAAAAAAAATAGAATATCAACTTTCTTTTTAATTATCTAACTTTTCTCTTATACAAAACGTGTATGTGACGTTGAAAGTACAAAAGAACTGTATTTTCATTTAAGGGGGTAGTACACTTGGAATGTTCAAAAAGTAAGGCATTTTCGTTAATTTTTTTAAGCAATAAAACACTCAGGGAGGGCAAATATATTATAACCCATTTATTAGTCGTCCTTCGAACAACAATTTGTATTTTTTTTGAACTCGATTGGCGTCTCCCCGTGGCCGGTGCACCAGGTCGCGCGGGCGTCCTCGCGCGGAAGTCGGAAAACGGCGTGGGAAAATACTCCTTTCCATGTGATCCTGGAACATAAATCGAACAAAAATCCTGATTAGTAATGAAATTTGGGTTAGAAATACGTATTCCGATTTTTTTTAAATTAATTTTTTCAAAATTTGTGGCCTTAGGAAAAAAAAAGTTCAATTTTTCACCCTAAAAATGCTTACAAAATCGTGGATTAAAAATCCATTTTTGACAAAATCGAAAATGTGGATACGTATTTCTAAGCAGAATTTAATTCTGAACAAGAAAACCTAGGCGATATCTAAATTTGATGATAACTGGTTAGAGTTATTTCCCACGCCAGTTTGAAAAACCCCGTTTCGAGATAAACGCGTTTAAAGATAAAATTGCTCTCTCAGCGCGCCGGTACATGTTTTAGGAAATCGCTTCATAAAGCGGTAAGGAATATTTTGGTGGACTTGGAGTCTTTTCTAAATTAAAGTATACACCCCAAGGAACATTTTTAACCCAAAAAAAAATGCATTTTTTTGAAAAATCAAAGTGTACTCCCCCCTTAATATGTTGCTACATTGGTCAGCCAAATTGCAGTGCAGTTTGTAGAATACATTGAGAAATTTAACAATTGTTATCAAAACATATTTATAACACAAAAAATTAGACCATTACTTGAATCGTATATTAAAGTTATAATTAGGTATTGCAACTCTCTGTTGGCTATTTATAACCCTTTTATAACTTATTTTTGGAAGCATGAGTAAAACTAAAATGTAACTTATTAGTAACATGTTTTTAATATTGACATATGAAAACATGTTGTAAATAAGGTTACAAAGTTTTCATCAAACACAATCAGTTTTAAATGTGTTATTACCTGATAATTGAGACATGCAATACCGAATCATAACTTCCATATAACTGTGTATGTTAGAAAGGTTGAATACTTCACAAACAACGGGTCTAAAACAAGATGTTTTCATAGCAACTAATGTATAACTTATTTACAACTGGGATTTCTTTTATTTTTCATGAACGATGTTGTAAGTGTTACGCGGGAAGAAACCATTTAGGGTTCATCAGATATCCTTTTGGATTTGTCCGGGTTTTGTATGAAGTTGCCCCACTGTGCAATCGCAATGTGGTTCTGGGTACTCGGTTGGCTGTAATTGAGCTTGTGTTAGAACTCTGATGTAATTTGATGTGTCGCATGATGGATTTTGGATTTAGTCAGGAACAGGCCATATCCTCGGGGATACCAGGAACATGGCCGGATGTGACCATAGTCCTGGGCACTCGGTAAGACCACCAATGAACTTTTTGGTGAACTCACATGTGGTTTTAGGTGTCGCAAGATAGATTTGGTTCGTTTTAGGTAACCTTCACCCATACTTACTGGAACGTGTTCTAGCCAGATCTTCGGAACCATTTGACTGATTCCACAAATATGCAATAGCGTCAGCTTCACGACGCCTTCTCCACTAGTAAAGCAAGTTCATCATCACCCTCCTTTGGATGTCACTGTTAAAGATAATCACGCTTGGGATTTTGTCAACATTTCCACAACCGTGTCATACGACTTCCGGAAAGCAGATCATCGTAGTATCGTCGACGTGCAAAGATTGGGAGAGCATCCTCGATCCTGACAACGTTGAAACTGCCGCCCAAACTTTTTCACATGCGTTGGCATATGTATGGCAAAGACACGTACCAAAAAGAATTCACCATAAAGTTTCTCATCCTCCCTGGCAGACGAGTGAGCTGCGTAGGTTGAAGTCGACCAAGAGAGCCGCATTAAGGAAATTCACCAAGTATAGCACGCTTTCGCTGAAACACCACTACGCAGGCTCAATTATAAGTTCAAGCGAGTTAGCTGTCGATACTATTCGCGTTATCAACGAGGGATTCAGTGAAAACTCAAGTCGTACCCGAAGTCCTTCTGGAATTACGTAAATAAGCAGCGCAAAGAGTCCGGCCTACCATCGTCAATGGAGTTGAACGGTGAAGTCGCTTCTACCTCTCAGGGGATATGTCGCTTGTTTGCAGACAAGTTGTCCAGCGTTGTATCTGATGAGAGATTAGCCTACAAACACGTTACCCTAGCAACTAGCAATGTTCCACTGTAACACTAAACACTGGGTTTAATTAATGTCAACGTCGATATGATTTTCGCTGCCACATCACAACTCAAGTCGTCCCAGGACCCGATGGTGTCCCATCCGTATTTATGACGAAGCATATCACCAGCTTGCTTACACCGTTACATCATCTATTCCGAATGTCCATCTCAAGTGGCATATTCCCATCATGTTGGAAATTTGCACATATGTTTCCTGTCCACACAAAGGGAAGCAAACGAGACGCCGTGATCAACACGGCTTCACTTCCGGTCATCACTGAAAGCATGGCTGAACGGACACAAACAGACGTCATAGGGGAAATGTCTCTAATGTTGGCCTATGGCTCTAAGATTGGGCCCATCGCTAAAAAT